CCAGAAATCTCTCCTTCCATCGTCCCTCCACCTGATCCTTCCTGTTCTTATCCCTGTGCTGCCTATTCAGACCCCTTCCCCAGTCTGGTCTATTTCCCCTTCACAGTGAGAGTCATGTTATTTAGCCCCCCTGGGTCTGTGGTATTGTGTATGATTATCCTTTACTTTATGGCTAATATCCACTTATAAGTAAGTACATACCATGTTTGTCTTTCTGGATCTGAGTTACCTCACTCAGGATGATCTTTTCTAGTTCTATCCATTTTGCCACAAAATTTCGTGATGGCTAAGCAATACCTCCACTTTGTAAATGTACCACATTTTCTTTATTCATTCTTCAGTTGAGGGGCATCTATGTTATTTCCAGTTTCTGACTATTATGTATAAAACTTCTTTGAGCATACCTGAGCAAGTGTCCTTGTAGTATGGTGGAGCATCCTTTGGGTGCATGTCCAAGAGTGGTATATAGCTGGGCTTTGAAATAAACCTATTTCCAATTTTCTGAGAAAATGCCATATTGATTTCCAAAATGACTGAGCAAGTTTGCACTCCCACCAGCAATGGAGGAGTGTTCCCCTTACTCCACACCCTCTCCAGCATGATCTGTCACTTGTATTTTTTATTTTAGTTATTCTAACAAGTGAATGATGGAATATCAGAGTTATTTGATTTGCATATCCCTGATGGTTAAGGTGTTGAACATTTCTTTAAGGGTTTCTTGGACATTTGAGTTTCCTTTCTTGAGAATTATCTTTTTTAGCTCTGTACCCTATATTTTAATTGGACTATTTGGTTTTTTGATGTCTAGTTTTTTGAGTTCTTTATATATTTTGCAAATCAGCTCTCTGTTAGATATGGAATTAGTGAAGATCTTTTCTCATTCTGTAGGCTGCCATTTTGTTCTTTCAATAGTGTACTTTGCCTTACAGAGGCTTTTCAGTGTCATGAGTCCCGTTTATTAATTATCCATCTTAGTGCCTATGATACTGGTGTTCTGCTCAGGAAGTGGTCTGCCGTGCCAATGCATTCAAGGATATTTCCGCTTTCTCTTCCATCAGGTCCAGTGTATCTCATTTTATGTTGAGGTCTTTGATATACTTGGACTAGTGTTATGTTCAGGGTAGTAGATATGGACCTATTTGCATTCTTCTATAGGCCTAGGATATCCAGTTAGACCAGCACGTTTTGTTGAAGATTCTTTTTTCCATTGTACAATTTTGGCTTCTTTGCTATCAAGTGTCCATAGGTGTGTAGATTTACTTCTGGGTCTTTGATTCAATTCCATTGATCAATCTGTCTGTTTTTATGCCAATACCATGAGTATTTATTTATTATAGTTCTGTATTACAGCTTGAAATCAGGCATGGTGTTAAGCCCTGAAATTTTTTATTATACAGAATTGTTCTTAGCTATTTTAGCTATTTTTGTTTTTCCACATGAAGCTGAGTATTCTTTCAAAGTCTGTAGAGAATTGTGTTGGAATTTTGATGGGAATTGCATTGACCCCATAAATTGCTTTTGGTAAAGTGGCCATTTTTACTATTTTAACCCTACCGACTGAGCATTGTTTCATCTTCTGATATCTTCTTAAATTTCTTTCCTCAAAGACTTCAAGGTTTTGTCATATAGGTCTTTCACTTGCTTGGTCAGAGTTGCGCCAATATATTTTATATTATTTGTGGTCATTGTAAAGGGGTATTCCTTCTCAGCTTGTTTATTGTTTGTATATAGGAGGGCTATTGATTTTTTAAAGTTAATTTTGTATCCAGTCACTTTGCTAAATTTGTTTATCAGCTATAGGAGTTCCCTGTAGAATTTTTTTGGTTGCTTATATATACTATCATATCATTTACAAATAACAATACTTTGACTTCTTCCTTTCCAATTTCTATCTCCATTCTCTTTACGTTGTCTTATATGAGGTCCACTTGATTGTGGTAGATGATCTTTTTCATATGTTCCTGGATTTGGTTTTTGTGTATTTTTTTAACTTTTAATTATTCTTTGTGGATTTCACATCATGCATCCAGATCCCACTTATCTCCCCATCCCCTGGCATCCACCATCTGCCCTTGCAACCCCTCCCCCCCACACACAAAAGAAACAAAATTTAAAAGAAAAACCAAAAACACCAAATAAAACAAAACAAGTGAACAAAAACTCATCAAAAACGAAAACAAAAACAAAACAAAACAAAACAAAACAAAACAAAACAAAACAAAAAACCTAAAAGAAATAAAAATCAGAGAAGAATTTCATTTTGAAAGCTGTGGTGTGGCCTGTTTAGTCATACAATTTACCTTTTAGTCCATTTATCTTCACTTGTAAATGTTCACTGCTATGAGTCATTGGTCTGACTCTAGGCCTTTGGCTTCTGCCACACTATCAATAATGGGCTCTTGCTGAGGCTCCTTTTGAATATCCTGTTGTCCTGTGTCATGGAAATTCTGTTGTTTTGTATCTGTAGGTTCAGACTCTTCACATGCTCCAACAGTTCATAGATAAGGCCAATGCTGTCATGGGCTAACTCATAGCCCTGGTTCTGGGACTGGTATTTTTGCATCAATGTTTTTGAGGGAAATTGGTCTGTAATTCTTATTTTTCTGTTTAATTGAAATGAATAGCAAGTTAGTATAATCAATAAAAGGTTTATTAAGTATGCTTACTTTCCTTCTTTTACTAAGAATATTTGTGAAGATTAATAAGAGATGTCATGTTAATTATTGAGTGACTTGGAGAATTTCTGCTCATCCTCTACCTGTATAATGCAAGGTCATTATAGAGCTTGAAATTTTGTAATATATTTTAAATATATTGTATGGACTTCTTATACTACAAAGTTTTTTAAAACCATGCTGAATGTGAAATCCCAGCAGCAAATCTTTTGTCATGAATCCTGATTATTTTAGTGCATGGCTTTGGGTGATTGGCTGATATTTAACTTATGGCAGTAACTTCTGTAAATAATGAAAAATTGCTTTGAAGTTTGACTTCTATGTAACACATCTATACTTTTCTCTGGCTATTTCATAACTTCATGGAATTTATGTAAAAGCATTCTAATGTTCAGTTTGTATGTGTTTAATTAGGATGTTTACTATTTAGTTTCATTGATATAACTCAAGCTCAACATTTATTTACATGCAGAACTTCTCTGTGGGATACTTTCTTTTTTGGTATTTTCATTTTTTTGATGAGCTGATTTACTCTGGTATATTAACAAACTGCATGTTGGAATTGAATGATTTTTCCTTGGGAAAGCATACATTTTAGCTCCTCTTTGCATTTTATATATTTTACTCTCATTCTATTTACAATTTTTTATAAACTTTTTATATTTTCATTGCAGCCATTTTGATTTTTCAAGTGGCCTTTATATTCAGCATAGTCTTTCCTTATATAGTATATAACCTGAAAAGAAAAGTTGTTATTGCCCTTAGCAATATATTATGATTTTAATTTTCCTGAGCATAGTTCTCTGTTAATGTACTTTTCTTTAAACATTGTACTTGAACTATGCTATCTATAGTACTCTAAATTCAATGAACGTTAATTAATTGAAGTGTATTGTTTAGGTATCCAATTTTTAAATAAGTTATTACTATTTTAACCCCAAATCTTCTTCAGTTCCATGGTTTTCATAACTCTTCTGTTGTACCAGTGTCAGGGAGAGTGAATATTTGCTATTAAGTAAGATTAATTATTATCATCTGCCATCATTGTACACATATATTCATTCATAATGAAAGTGTAAGATAATACAGTTGTTACAATTGCTAAATTTCCATAAAAATGCATATTCATATTCACAGGTCCCACACGTTAGAGCATGAGCGTATGTGAGGAGCTGTGGCTAAGCTCCTATTGACACTGACATGGGTTTCATTATACACTGTTTAATTTTATTTCGTTTATACCAGAACAAGCCCCATTGTAACCACTGGTGGACTTCAGAGTTACTTGCGTCTCCTCTAGCCTCCTTCCCTTACTTACTATCTCATATGACTTCATAACTCATCAATGATTTTGTGAAATTATAACATTTGAGTTAATCTTGTGGGGTTTCTCATCTTTACACAATATCATGTGTGCTTAGAATTTTGTTTTGTTTTGTTTGTTTTTCAAGACAGGGTTTCTCTGTGTAGTTTTGGTGCCTGTCCTGGATCTCACTCTGTAGACCAGGATGGCCTCGAACTCACAGAGATTTGCCTGGCTCTGCCTCCCAAGTGCTGGGATTAAAGGCATGTGCCATCGCCACCTGGCGTGCTCAGAATGTTTTAAATTTTAGGTTGGAGAGTTAATTGACCATCCGTTTACTTACGGATTTATGTTAGCTCTAAATTTCAACATTGTGCCTATTCTGGGTCCTACCTGTAGTGCATCAAATAGAAAGTTCTCCAAATAGGAGTCTATATGTTTTATATAATCTGCTGATGAGTGTTTACAAAACTTCTAACTATTTTTTACTCTTTTTGTTCTTTAATATATACAGGGAACATATACATAAACACCATAACAATAGCCTTTAAAGATGGTCTATTTATTTTACCATAAAAATAGAAGTAATAAACATGAAAGATGCAAGATTGGACCTAAAAGAGTCATCACAGATTTCTTGCTAAAGAAAATTGTGTCCCTGATAACCCATGTATTATATTAAAGTTAAATTTGTACTATGAAATAAGGTTAGATTTAGAAAATATGTTATTAAGGTAGTTTTCATATACTCTTTACCCCATTCCTTCTGTTAATATGATGTGCATATCTATAGAATGTTTATCAAATTATGAAATGAATATTGCTACACTATTATTTACTAAGGATTCACCTTAAATTTCATGCTTTACTGTGAATATTCTTTTTTGTTCTCTGGGATCTAATCCAAGTGACTATTTTTCTGTCATTTCCTCTTAACAGCTCATTTTGGTGTAGTTTCTCAGACTTCCTTTCCTAAAACAAAGACATCTAAGGTTGTACTGACTGTTCATTCTCCAATCTAGGTTACCTTTCCCTTCTCTAACAGACTGAGTTCACTGCTTTTTGGAAGAGAATTGAAGAAACACAATAGCCTCCCGTGACCTGTTTTCCAGCAGTATGTATGTACTCTGTATTTGTGATATTATTGGTGATGGTAATAGGTGATGATTTTGATCAGATTAATCTACTCTTCATTTTTTTCTACTTTCTGTTCTTTTCCTGGTTGAAAGTTAATTTCTAGAACTGTCCAAGATGTACAGAGAATTAAGTTCCACTTTTTGTAGTATGAGAATACTTAAAGATATTATGTAAAATTATTCTATAAGAAGCATGTTTCTTCTGTCTAATTTATGAATTTATTCAACCATTTGCATAGATCAGAATGGACTCATGCATATTTATTTTTAACTTCGGATTACATTTTTATTATATTTGGGTTACATTTGATACAGCTTCATTTTTCTTTTTACCACATTCTTTTGGCTTTGATGTAAGTATCTCTTTCAGTTTGGCTTCTTTGTCCTTCCAAAATTTTGTACATTTTTGCTTTTGGAGAACATAGATAAGTACTTTGAACTCAGGTGACCAAGAGGTCCTTTGTGTTTTCCAATTGTCTATATAACAGCAAGTCTTTATGGTGTGCCTTGGTTTCTTTATTCAATGATGACATTCAAAAATCAAGATTCAGGGACTGCAGGAGTGTTCATTGTTAACAGAATATCAATGTAACAGTGTGTAGTATTGTCTCATATGACAGTCTGAGTAGTGGAAATAATAGAAACATTTTTTTCATAGCTTTAAGGAAAGAACCTATGGCAAACATACCAAGATTGACCTCTTAACAAGCCTGGATTTTCCAACCCCATTCTTTGATGGCCCGTTCTCACATGTTACATCTGTGTTATCCCTCCCTGTGTAACCAAATTTCCTCTAATAAGGACGCCTATCAATATAAATCAGATTCTCCTTTGAAAATCCTTTGAAGTAAGCAAGATTTGGTCTTTAGCCTATATATACAAATGGGAAGTTACAATTCCTTGGATACTCTCAATACACCTAACTATAAGTATTTCTGTTTACCAATGTTGTGTAGTAAATGCATGTACAATCTCATCATGTAGACTTATGCTTATTTCTCCTCTGTCTTTATGCAAACTACATGAGTGAACTATGATTTGAGTTTTTAAGTGTCTTAAATTGGAGTCAATGGCAGAAGGTACTTTATATTTAGAAAGTAAGTTAATTAATAGTTTGATGATTGTTACTACTGTTATTTTGTAAGGCAGAATGTTTTCATTCTGATTTCTATTAGTTGATACTTTTTGCAAAAATTTATTTAATCTATATTATTTAATATACAATTATTCATATATGAAAACTGAAACCTGTGGTGTGGGTTTGCTCACTAGTAGAGTGCTTGCTTATCATGTGTGAAACCCTGTGTTCAACAGCAAACGTTTCAAAATACATTCACTTGTGTATATTGAGATATAGATTAAGCAGACTAACTCATAAATTTATAAATTATTTTAATCACTATTATTTCCACTTAAATAAATAAAAATCGATTGCAAATATATTTTAATTAAGTGAGTATGATATTCTAGAGGGTACAGCATTAATGCTAGAAAAGATAAGTATTATTTTTTGCTAGTTCAAAATGAAGTATTGTAAATGAATTCTACTTTATTAGGACTATGACTGAGGTGAAAGAAGCCAGCCCATGGCATTTCTATCCTGCTTCTGAATGCACCTTATTTCTTCCCTTACAGACACACCATACAGCTGAGACAGGTGAGAGTCACCCCCTCTTAGATGCGAAAGAGTTTCCAAAAGGAATTCAGTAAAACCTGGTGCTTAAAGAAGAGAAAAGAAAAGCCAGGGCATCAACAGATTATATCTTAAACCAAAAAATAAATATTTTATAAAATACTTTCTTTTGTCTTCTCATGGTAGGAAATAATAACGAGGCAAATCAATGAAAGGATGAATTTCAGGCTGATTACTATACCAGATAGTATTAGTTTTTTTTGTTTTGTTTTTTACAAAGTCATGCAGGCTTGAATCAAAGCCCCTCTAAAGCAATATTCATCAGAAACTCATGAAGGTTACTTTATTTAGAAACATGGTTTGGCAGATATCACAAAGTTAAAATGAATTTACAATGGATTAATTTGACTCCAAAATCATAGAAAACAATATTCTTTTCAGGAATAAATTAAATGTGGCCAGAGAGCTGAATAGACAGAAAAGGGAATTTGTGTGCCATGTTACCGAGTTTGAAAGAGAAGAGGACACTGTTTCCCCAGGATTGTTGGTGTCCAAGGAGACAATTTTGTCATGGCAGCTATAGACAATGAATACTGCAGAGTTCTTTTAATCATAAAGAAGAATCAAAGATGAAAGAGAGAGTTTTGAGAGACAATACAGCACACTTTAAACATGATAGTCTTTTGCATAGTTAGAACGCATTTAGAGTGAAATGATTTTCTGAGCCAATCCCACGCTGTCAAAAGTGCCCTTGCATTCTGATCATTTCACAACAGCTAAATTCATGATATAGAGGGAGTTAAATTTATCTACAAAGTTTCTCTTAATATACAATTTGCATACCGGCACATTCATACTTTCAAGCATGTGACTTAGTATCTAATAAATAGGAAGAGTTTAATTAGCACCAATAAAAGTTCAGAATGCATCAAGGCAAGTCAGCAAGAGAAAGAACTTTAGATGATAAGGTTAAAATATATGGCATTTATTTAGGGGGGTTTTCCCTAGAGTGGGCAATTATAATTAAAAAAGAAAATACTTCTACCTAGAAACTAAGCCATAAACTTATAGTAGCATATTTGACAAGTTAGATTCATGACTAATGTATAAATGATTTTACTGTATAATTAATCAGAGGACATATTTTACCTCTATAAGAAACAAACTTCTTGGCATGGGAAGAAGAAAGAAAAAGAAAATATATATAAAGATGTATTTCAGCTAAAATTAAAAGGACAGACACTCTAAGTAAGATCTGGCTGTTATCAAAGAACAAAGCTCGCCACGTACTAAGTACTCAATAAAAAGGTTGAACATTTAGTATCACATGGGAATTATCCTTAAGGAGTACCCAACTACTTGAGAAAAGCTACAGCCCTTGCTGATTTCATTGTGCAGTTTAATCTGGGATTAAAATATCCACAGCTATTTTACTTTCTTATTAGTAAGGCTCTTGTCTTTCCTGCCTTTTTCAATTATAACATAATCTCTAGCTCTGTTATGAGTGATGCAGAATCACTAATCTGCAACAGTCATGGTTAAATCTAGGCATCACTGAAAGTGATGGGTGCTGTATGTCCTTGTTTATCTCATGATTGAATAAACAGCTTTCAACACCAGCCTTCTACAATGTATGTTGTATTCTTGTTGGTGAAATAGGAAGCAACAGACTTTAAACTACATCTATGACACTAACAAATTTTTCTCAGTGGTTTCCTAATAGGGCAAATTCTGGCTATTCTCTTATGTTTTTCTCAAGCTGGGGCTCCTTTTCTATCACCATCTGTTTCATTAAGGGTTCTTATTACTGTGATGAAACACAATGACCAAAGAAACCTGGGAAGGAAAGAATTTATGTAGCTTATGCTTCCATATCACAGTTTGTCATCAAAGGAAGTCAGGACAGGAACTCAAGCAGGGCAAGAACCTGGAGGCAGGAGCTGGAGCAGAGGACATGGAGGGGTGCTGCCCTCTAGCTTGTTCTCCATGGTTTGCTCAGCCTGCTTTCTTGTAGAATCCAGGACCATCAGCCCAGGGAGGCACCACCCATAATGCCCCTACAGCCTATCCATCACTAATTAAGACAGGCCCTGCAAGCCTGACTGCACGATCTTTGGGCCTTAAGGAGGCATTTTCTCCATTGGGGCTCCCTCATCTCTGATGACGCTAACTTGTGTCAAGTTGACACAGTTATAGCCACTGTACCACCTATGACCTTTCCCTTGGAAATGTAAATATTTAACAAAACCCAGAAACGGAATTTTGGTTTTGTACTCTGATAAGTTTCCATTATGAGATGTTTTCAGTACATTTTTCATTTTTATGTAACTCAAATTTATTTTAGGTGATATATAAAACATGAAAAGTATAAACTTGCACCATGTATATATTGGGTAATATTTAAGACAAGTTAAAAATTTTCTCCTCAATTATTTATTGGTGTTTAATGGTAAAAACATTCAGATTTATTTCTACAGCTTTTTTTTTTAAAGCACAGTTCATTACAGCTTTTAAAAAAAAATGCTCAGTTCATTATTGATTCCTATGGTCACCCTACCAGCAAGAGTACAGAGTCTCTTACTTCTGACTATAATGTCATATACATTAATCACTCTTTCTCCATTCTTCCTTTATCCTCCTTCACCAGCTTCTGGTAGATATCACTCTAAACTCAGTATGAAATTAACTTTTTATCATTCTACTCATTAACAGAATCACGTAATGCTTGTCCTTTCATTCTGGCTTACATCAATTTGAAGACATTCAGGTTTCTAGGTTTCAGTACCCATGATTTTATTCGATTTTTGGACAGGCATCATTGCCTCACCCAATCTACCAGAGTTAGAACCATTTTATTGGTATACTCCTTGTAAATGGCGATGTTTCCTAGGGCCCTTTCCCCTGGTGTATTTTGTGTTGTGACCCTTCCCTGTTACTTCTCTCACCACTGCTGCCCCTCCTCCTTACCCTGGACCTTCTCAGTTTTGCTTTCAGGTTTTGTGCACATATAAAGGCGTGGTGGTGCACGCCTTTAATCCCAGCACTTGGGAGGCAGAGCCAGGTGGATCTCTGTGAGTTCGAGGCCAGCCTGGGCTACCAAGTGAGTTCCAGGAAAGGCGCAAAGCTACACAGAGAAACCCTGTCTCGAAAAACCAAAAAAAAAAAAAAAAAAAAAAAAGAATATATTCATAATTGAGCAAGTGACTGTGTGGTCGAGTGGAACGTCCTTTGCATGTACGCCCGAGTGGTATAGCTGTGTCTTGAGGTGAATCGGTCCTTGGTTTTCTGCAGAAATGCTATATTAATTTCCATAGTGGTTCTACAAGTTTGCACTTCCACCATTAATGGAGGAGTGTTCCCCTTGCTCCATATCCTCTCCAGCATGAGCTGTCACTTGTGTTATTGATTTTAGCAATTCTGACAGATGTAAGATAGAATCTCAAAATATTTTTAACTTGCATTTCCTAATGGCTAAAGAATTAAACATTTCTTTATTATACTTTATATTTTTTACTTTGTTTAGATAAGGACATTAACTCTAATTCTATTTTTTATTTAAGTATATAAAAAATAAATATAGACAATGTCTCTACTACTTCTCTTAACAAAGATTCTTAAATTCCAAAAGATACCACAACCCCCAAATATGCTATGATTTTAGATGCTTAAACAAATACAGATACTATAAAATAGACATTTTACTACAACACGAGATTCAAATTAATTTAATTATTTAATTTTCTCTTTGTGCATCTTGCCATGTAGTTTGGTCATTCCTTTTGGGGTTTTGCACGGTTGATGTAACTTACTATTTCTTCTAAATCTAGTGAGCCAGCTTTGTTTTGTGAAGTGACAAATACAATCTACACAACTTTGTACATTAAGTACATACAAAAATGTGTCAAATATGCTTATATGAGTCAAAATAACCCAAAGTATAATCAGATAATAGTTATAATAAAGTATAATTCAATTTTATGGAGCTGGAGTGATAATCTGGTTCTATTCCCAGAACCCACATGGTGACTCATAACACTCTATACCTATAGTTCCAGGGTATCAACTACCCTCTTAAAGTCATTATGGTCACTTTTTATACATGGTGTACAGACATAAATGTTGGAAAAATACCTGTACATATAATATAAAGTATTTTAACCTAAATTTTATGAAACATTTAAGTTCTCATTATTTCAATTCTCACTTTGCTTTTGCATGGTATCATTTCAATATATTCTTGGCTACAAACTTTTTTATTTTATTTAAGTTCAATTTCAAAATCTGACTATTTATTGTACTCTAAAGCACATGACTCCTGGTGTCTATGTCATTGACACTAAGCCATTTCAGCGCCTCCTCTGAGCAAGCTCTTAGGACCCAGCAACATCTGGTGGCTGAACTTAGGACTGCTGTTACTTTGGCTTTCCTGGAATTGAATCTGATCATGCCCCTTCCTTCCCTTGAGGTGCTAGATAGTGCCCCCCAAGATGGTGTATTTTAGTGAAAAGACCCCTCAATGTGATATACTTTAGGTCCCTTTGGCAGGTAAGCTCTGTGACACCCCCACCACTACCTTTCTTCTCTTCCTTTGTATTGTCTATCATGTTTGTCTGCCTGTCTGGTGAGTAAGGCAAAATTTTTTTTCTGTCCCCTCCACATAAAGGCTGACCCCACAGGAGGCAAAACCAAGGATCAGCTTCCAAACACCATCCCTTTTGACTCATAAAATAAATTTGGCAATCTTTCTTCTGTTTCTATTTTGTAGAAGCATTTGGCTTTAAGTCTTCTTTGAAAGTCTGGTTGAGCCGGGCGGTGGTGGCACACGCCTTTAATCCCATCACTCGGGAGGCAGAGCCAGGCGGATCTCTGTGAGTTCGAGGCCAGCCTGGGCTACCAAGTGAGCTCCAGGAAAGGCGCAAAGCTCCACACAGAAACCCTGTCTCGAAAAACCAAAAATAAAAAAAAATAAAAATGACTTTGATAAGTGGTATATATCAAGCAGGTTCCCTGCTACAGAGATGGGAATGAGACTGGGGTTTAAGGGGATTGGATCTCAGAAGCATCAGGAATAGTGTGGGCCTGCCTTCAACCAACTTATTACTTTGGGAAAAATGA